CCTCAGCACCCTTGGATGCATTCCATCCGGACCCATCGATTTATGGATGTCCAGATTGCTTAACTGATCCCTAACCCAATCCTCATCTACCATGGCAAACTCCTCATCTATCTTGACTACTTCTGGGGCTATATGAATCTGGGGCTCATGGGGAAACCTTGCAGGAGTAAAGACTGAGGCAAAGAAGGCATTCAGCACCTTTGCCTTCTTTATATCTTCTGTCACCAGGGCTCCCACCTCATTCATCAGTGGGCCAATATTGCCTCTAGTGTTAGTTTTGTTAGCTATGTATTTGAAAGATACATGCTTGAAGATACATAGCTTTTTACAGCCATTTGGGCCACAGAGCTTTGCTAAACTCTAGCAAATCAAAATTGCTCTCAAGGAAACCTCAATCTGTCAAGAATTACCTTCAGTATTTTGATGGATCAGAACCTGAATGCCCACTTCTTAACACTCATGGGACCACTGTTCCTGGAACTCAGAGGCACTGCCGTGAAAATGCTCACACCTTAATTTTGAATAAAGCACCTTAACATAGGAAAATCTTAATTCCCTTTCTGAACAGCTAATGTATTTACAACACAAGGATCCCAGATGCTCTAGAGATATCACCCAATCCTCAAAAACCCCAGCAGAGAGAAGAAAACTTTACAGAATGGGATGTAGCCAGGACATCAGTACTTACCCCAAATCCGAGAGGTTACCTGTGACAGACTGAGAGCTAAATCTGTATTCTCTTGGCATACAAATCCACATCTGTACTGAAAGTCTACCCATTTTTCTGTACCACAGTGAACTGAAGGGCAAATGCTATGTTCAGTTTCCATACAAAATCACACAAAGCAGGCAGGGAAAGCAAGGTATACAGCACAGTGACAGCAGGGAATATCCACGGAAAAAAAAAGAAGGTTGGTATAACTTACAGGAGCTGCATTGTTTTTCACTGTGACACTTGGAGTTGTGGCTCGTAGTGCCCCACTCACGCCATGGTAGTATTTGAAGCAGATCTTTGTTTCAGCTAAAAAAAGAAAATTATTATAAATTAGAAGAACTGCCAGGAAGAAGCTGCGTGATCCGTTGCAGCTCATAGGCACAAGGCTGACAAAGAGTCAAATTGCAAGTGGTTTGTGCCCGTTTGGTTGGCATGTCAGGATACCTCCTGCCTTTGATCTTTTGACTTTGCCAGAGTGAAATTTACATTTTGGTTTCTGTGACTAAAATTAGTTAAAACCTGCATCTCTTCTGAGCAGTTTCAACAGACAGACCTCGGAGTACCTGATCAGCATCCTTCAGCTATATTAAGAGGAAGAAAAGTAGGGAGAGAGAAACCCTCCCTCTTCAGACATACCAAACATAATGTGCAGACAAAGTGAGAAACTTCCTTAGGAAAACGAGATTGCTTAGTTGCTCACTGCCAGGTTTCACTGAGCCAATTTTTTCTGGCCACAGTCAGGGCAAGGATGTACATCTACCCAGATTAACTGCTCTGAAAGTTACTGCATTAAAACATATTCCAGAAACAGCACGGTACCATGAGACCCTATCTTAGTGTATTTCTACTGATTTCTGAAGATTTGGATTAGGTGAGGAACACATTCTGAACTCAGAGCACTGCTTTTTGCCACACGCACCAATATTCAGATAGTCACACTAAGTAAGGGAAACACCTTTTGATAACTGTCAAGGCATAGAAGTAAAATCAGCTTCTTGTTTGATCATCCCCTTAGGACCCACCTTCTTGTCTGCTGCAAGAAGGAAAGATACTTTAGCCAGCTTCTCTGTTGGTCTGTAACTAGAAACAGATACAAATTCCTAGTCTGTGCCATAATTCCTCTTTTTCAGTTGCCTGAACCTGCTTACTTGGTGAAACACATCCTGCAGGCTTTTCTTCTGTAGTAAACTAGGATGTGAATTGTGTTGATAGGTGCCTACATACAGTCAGGACATCACAGCTATGAACTGTATGTATTTAACAGCTATATTTGTGGGATCTAAAAACCCCCTATTTAAATAGAAAGCAGCATTCACATCTTGCAGCTTTAACTTGATAACGTCATGGAAATTTTCAGATACTCCAAAATGTACTTGAAGGTGCTTCTTAACACCTTGTATTTTTCCTTAACATCTTGGTTTGCAGATGCTGCTGAGGCCCAGGGAAAACACCAACCTTTGTCTGCAGAGCCACAATTCTGCTCACTGTAACTACAGTGCCTATGCAAGAAAATACTAAAGGAATGAAGATGATCAGAGGGTTGGAGCACCTCTCCTATGAAGCCAGGCTGAGGGAATTGGGGCTGTTCAGCCTGGAGCAGGGAAGGTGCCAGAGAGACCTTATAGTGACCTTCCAAAACCTGAAAAGGACCTACAGGAAAGCTGGGGAGGGACTTTTTACAAGGGCAAGTAGTGATAGGACAAGCAGTAATTGCTTTAAACTGGAAGAGAGGAGATTTAGGAGAGATATTAGGAAGAAATTCTTCACCATGAGGATGGTGAGACACTGGAACTGGTTGCCCTGGGAAGTTGTAGATGTCCCATCTCTGGAAGTCTTCAAGGTAAGGTTGGATGGGGCTTTGAGCAACCTGGTCTAGTGGAAGGTGTTCCTGCCCATGCAGAGGGGTTGGAACTAGATGATCTTTCAGGTCCCTTCCAATCCAAACCATTCTATGATTCTATGAATGCAAACGTTTTAATGTACAAATGGCAGTCTTGTTTTAACACCAGCAACAAAATAAGTTAAATCAGTGCAGCTGTGACAAAAGATTTTTTAACCTTAAGAGCTGGGACCTCAGCCACAGATTTTGATGCTGCAATCTGCCCTCTGGTAGATCCAGTAAAAGCAACCATGCAGCACCCCAGGTGGAAGCAAAATGTGGGGACATGAAAAGTGGTGGAGCCGCTCAAAAACACAGGCCTGAATTTCTTACTCTGACACCTACACATACACAGGAGGAAAAATAAATCCTGATCTGTTTTTTGAAAGATAAAACAGTTTTAGGAGTGTAAAGCCATCCGAACTTTCAAATGTGACTTGGGAAATGAAAAACAAAGAGCTTATGTTTCCAAGTAGTGAGCACTTCTCACTTCCAGCACTGCTCCCTGAGGTGGCACCAGGGACGTACAAGCCCATCAATGAAAAGCACAGTTACAGTGCAGTTAATCTGCCACTGTATTTTCCATCCCCACAGCTCATTCTTCATCAGCCAACCAGGTGCACATTTCTGCTCACACAGTGAAAATACACACCCCTTCCACTATACACACAGACATGTGTCCCCTTTACTTCACAGCACTCCAGAAGAAGAGGAACAGTCCTTCAGCATCTCCATAAGGGCCTTTGTTGCCCATCTTGGGGATTAATTTGCAACTATGCCCCAAACAAACTTCTGCAAATTCAAGAGAATTACTTGAGGTGTCAGCGCAGCTGAGCAAGCGACCCTGCTCTTGCACCTGGGAGCAGCAGTTGTTTCCTTTTGGCAGCAAAAAAAGCTGGATGAGCTTGTGGGACTGAAAAACTGCAAGCCCAGACTGAATGTTCATGTTGTAATTTTCTCTATAGGACTTCTAACAGCTCAGCAGCTAACTCATTTACTCACTGAGAAGACAGTAAAAGCTGAGGATATTACAACAGCTAAAACATGCAGTTCTGTCTCATTATTCAAATCTTAATTTTCCTCTCCACTGGAGATTCTTAGCTACAGTTTGCATGGAACACCAAGAGCTAGAATAAAGATAAGCTGCTTTTATTTTATTTCTAATTTTTATTAGATCATGCAGTTAACAAAATATAACTTCAGGTACTAACCTGTATGACAACATTCAGACCTCACAGCAGGAAGCCTCACCATAGGTTGACAAGTAGAGAGTCAGTTACCATGTACATTGGGAAACTATGATTTAAAAGGACCTATTTAATTAATGTAAAAGTATTAGAAAGAACAGGAGGAGGAAAGAATATATCCTTATGTAGGTATTCTGGATATTAGCATTGCTGTCAAGGACAAAGATTACTAAGATGATTGAAAATGTATTTGGAAAGAACCATGTGTGTATTGAAGATTTCTTTCTGTTTAACAGATGTACTATTTCTATTTTAATTTTCAATCAAACTGCCCACATAGAGATGCAAACTGGCAACAAGGCAAGCCAGAGAGATGCAGATGTCACATCCAATTCAAAAGAGTGGCAGAGGTAGAGCCATTCATCAGGCAGTATTTGAGGTGGAGACTAATGAATGTCAAAGGTTTCATTCAGAGAGCAGCCTGACAGCAAAAAGTCTTACAGGGGCCTTCACAGCTTGAGAAATTGCTCTAGAAACATCAGGTGAATGACATTTTCTTTTTTCTTTATTCCCGCTCTCCCCAGATCTTTTTCAGATTGAAAATAATAGGAAAATGGCTATTGTCATTGGACAGATAAAACTTTCAACAAGTTTAAAGCTTGCAAAATTACATACAGTATCTTTATGTACAAAAATGCCACTTAGACCTTAGTAGGGCTTTTCTTGGCTGGGAACCATTCTTTCCAAATAACACTGTTGGTGCCATGTTTTTCATTTGAACAAAGCCCTAACATTTTAATCTATCCGAAGATTGTTCTTGTATTTATGAATCACTTCTGAGACATATCCAAAACAGATACAGTCATTCACTGGATTGGTACCATCACTTCTGCAGATGAACAGAAAGCACAGTAAGTATAGGCAAGGCAGTGATATAAATTAATCTGAATATTATCCAGCTGGCATTTGCACCTAATATGTGGTTATAAGGGCTGTTTGCACTGCAGTCTTGTATATTAGCTTGTCATGGAATAAAGAAGACCATTTAACTCTGTTCTGTTGCCCTAGCTACAAGGCACAGTGCACAGGTCAGGAGCAGATGTTGTCCAGTTAATCCTCAGCTATAAATAAATACACGCCATTGTTATTTTCATCTCAGTAATTAAGAGTAGCAGCTCACTGGATCAGGTAATGAAATTATGATGTTAAAGTCAGGAAGTAATGAGGTTAAATTCTCCTTTCAATTAGCATAAATGGCAGTTAAACTGGTATATCTTCCAAGAGATGAGATGTTTAAAGATGCTCATAAATACTCATGCCCATGGCAATTACCAAACTACTTGGCATTTTTCACAAATCAAGAACAAAACAGCACTGTATTCCCTTTACACAAGGCTTGGTATCTCATGGTGTATTATACCATGGCTGTGTTACAGCCTTCTGCTGCATTGATATAAATAAGATGGTTCCCAGTTGTATGCGCCAACCCACTGCTGTAACCATCACAGGTGCAGAAAATAGAGCTGCCCAAAGGCAGGGTAATCAGAGCCAGGCAGCAGGAGAAGCAATTCTGTTTTGCTCCTTGCACCACAGCCTGCAAGTACCTCTGTGGGCCACACAGGAGGGATGCTCCTGGGGAAGGGAGAGGAGCTGCGACATAGCCCTTCCCAAGACAGCATGCAGACCACTCCTCACTCAGAGGAAACCTCTGAGAAGTTTGAGTTTTTGCCAGAGAACAACTCTGCCATGGAGCTTCATCCCTCTCTGGAGAAGAAAAAAAAACAGCTGGCAGAAAATTATTTCTCTAGCAAAGTCCTAAGTTATCTGTTACCAAATCAGTTTTGCAAATTAACTGGAAAATTAATTTATCAGCTCAACATTACTTTCCTTGGCAATATGAATGCTGCCTCTGCCATCACCCAGCCCTTGAAAACACTCTACCTCCTTCCTAAACTGAAGTGAGAGGAGATAAAATTAAGTAGGTTCTGCTGATGAATTGCAGCTAGAGGTACTGAAGGTCGAAAGTCTCTAAGAGGTGTCCTAATTTCCACCATCCACCCATTCTTCTTTCTTGTCACTGTTACTTCTCCTGTTGGTTTATTTGATACCCTTACCCTTTTAAAGTAATTATGTCCCTATTTATCCTCTTAATTACTTCAGAGTTGTAACATTGCCCTAAATACCTTCTCAAAAGTTCACTTGCTCTTAAAATCCTCTACTCCTAACTCACTAAAGCTAGT